AGCAGTGGAAAGAGAAATTAAGGAATCAATCCAACTTATAATTGCACAAGAAATAATAAGGTACATAGGAATAAACCTAACCAAAGAACTAAAAGACCTGGACTCTGAAAACTATAAAACACTTATGAAAGAAACTCGGGGTCATAGAAATGGAATGATATTCCATGTTCATGGATCAGAAAAACAAATATTGTTAAAATGTCTATTCTACCCAAAGTAATCTACACATTTAATGCAATCCCTAACAAAATACCACAAGAATTTTTCACAGAGCTAGAACAAACAATCCAAAAACTTGTAGGACACCACAAAAAACCTCAAATAACTAATGCAATCCTGAAAAAGAAAAGCAAAGCTGGAGGCATCACAATTCTGGACTTCACATTATACTACAAAGCTATAGTGATCAGAACAGTATGGTACTAGTACAAAAATGGAAACATAGATCAATGGAAAAGAATAGGAAACCCAGAAATAAACCCATAAATATATGGTCAATTAATCTTTAAAAAGCAGGAAAGAATATCTAACAGAAAAAAGACAAGTCTCTTCAACAAATGCTATTGGGAAAACTGGACAGCAACATGCAAAAGAATGCAACTGGACCACTTTCTTACACCACACACAAATAAATTCAAAATGGATTAAAGACCTAAATGTGAGACAGGAGTCCATCAAAATCCTAAAGAACACAGGTAGTAACCTCTTTGACATCAGTCATAGCAACTTCTTTCTAGATATATCTCCTGAGGCAAGGGAAACAAAAGCAAAAATAAACTATTGGGACTACATCAAATAAAAAGTGTCCACACAATGAAGGAAACAATCAACAAAACTAAAAGGCAACCTAAGCAATGGGAAAAGATATTTGCAAAGGACATATCTGATAAAAGGTTAGTCTCCAAAATATATTAGGAACTTATAAAACTCAACACCCAGAAACCAAATAATCCAGTTAAAAAATGGAGAGAAGACATAAACAGTTTTCCAAAACAGACATACAGATGGCCCACAGACACATGAAAAGATATTCATCATCACTTACTATCTGGGAAATTCAAATCAAAACTACAATGAGATATCACCTTACACCTGCTAGAATGGCTAAAATCAACAACACAAGAAACAACAGGTGTTGGTGAAGATGTGAAGGAAGGGGAACCCTCTTGCAATGTTGGTAGGAATGCAAACTGGGTGCAGCCACTCTGGAAAACAGTATGGTGGTTCCTCAAAAAGTTAAAAATTGAACTACCCTATGATCCAGCAATTGCACTACTGGGTAATTACCCAAAGAATACAAAAACACTAATCAGAGGGATACATCAATCCCATTTTTATAGCAGCATTTTTTACAATAGCCAAGATATGGTAGCAACCCACGTGTTAATTAATTGATGAATCGATAAAGAAGAATACATACAATGGAATATTATTTAGTTTTTATAAAAAATGAAATCTTGCCATTTGCAATGACATGGATGGAGCTATAGAGTATAATGCTAAGTGAAATGTCAGAGAAAGACAAATACTGTATGATTTCATGCACCTGTGGAATTTAAGAAGCAAAAGAAAGGAGCAAAGGGAAAGAAAGAGACAAATCAAGAAACAGACTCTTACTTATAGAGAAGAAATTGATGGTTACCAGAGGAGTTTGGGGGAATGGGTTAAATAGGTGATTGGGATTAAAGAGTATACTTTTCGTGATAAGCACCAGGTTATGTATGGAATTGTTAAATCACTATATTGTACAGCTGAAACTAATATAACACTGTTAAGTAACTGAAATTTAAAGCTAAAAAAAGAATTAAAAAATAAATCTTTTCATTTTGTGTATACCTGTACTAATTATTATACAATTTTATCAATTTTTTTGTTTTAAACTTCATATTAGCTTTATATGTGTTTAATCCCCTATCTTTAATATATTTTTTTTTATTTTTCAGTGAGATATTTTACTTTCATACAATTTCTTATTACTAGTTAATTCCTTTTCTTTTCAGCTGAAATTTATCTCTTTAACATTTCTTATAAGACAGTTTTAATGGTGACAAATTCACTTAGTTTTTGCTTGTCTGGAAAACTCTTTAACTCTCCTTAAATTCTGAATGATATTACCAGGTAGAATTCTTGGTTGATGTTTTTTTTTTTTTTCCCTTTCAGCACCTTCAATATACCATGCCATACCATGCCACTCCCTTCTGGCCTACAAAATGTCGATTGAAAAATCAGCTGATGGGCTTATGGGGGTCCCTTTTAATGCAAGAAGTTGTTTTTCTCTGGCTGCTTTTAAGATTCTCTTTAATTTTTAAAATTTTAATTTGAATATTCTTTGATGTGGATCTCTGTTTTTTCTTATTTGGAACTCTGTGAGCTTCCTAGAACTGATTATCTGTTTCCTTCCATAGGTTAGGGAAATTTTCAGCCATTATTTCTTGAAATAAGTTTTTTACTTTTTTTTCCTCTGTCTTCATTTGGTACTCCTATAATGCAGATGTTATTCTGCTAGACGTTGTCCCATATGTCCCTCAAACTATCTTAATTTTTCTATTTTTTCCCCTTTTCCTATTCTCAGTTACTTCTGGTGTCTTGTCTTCCAGGTTGCTCATCTGTTCACTTTGTCTGGTCTGCCCCTGAACCCCCCTAGGTATATTTACCACTTCACCTATTGTATTCTTCAGCTTTGTGACTTCTCTTTGTTGAAGTTTTCACTGTGTTCATCCATTCTTCTCCTGAGTTTGGTGAGCATATTTATGACCATTACTTTGAGTTCTTTATCAGGTAGATTACTTATCTCCATTTCATTAAGGTCTTTTTCTGAGGTTTTTCTCTTATTCTTTCATCAGGAACATATACACGTCTCCTCATTTTGCTTGACTCCATGTTTGTTTCTATGTGTTAGGTAAAATAGCTACCTCTCCTCTTTAAGAAGTTTTTAAATTATAGTTGACAATGTTATATTAATTTCAGGTGTACAACATAGTGATTTGACAAGTTTATACATTATACTATGTTCACCACAAGTGTAGCTACCATCTGTCACCATACAACACTATTACAGTATGATTGACTATATTCCCTATTCTGTACTTTTTACCCCTATGACTTATTCATTCCATAACTGGAAACCTGTATCTCTCATTTCCCTTCACCCATTTTGCCAATTCCCCTACTTCCCTCCCCTCTGGCAATCACAAGTTTTTTCTCTGCCTTCATGGGTCTGCTTCTGCTTTTTGTTTGTTTTAACTTTTTAGATTCCATATATAAATCTGGCCTTGCATTGGAGATAAACCTTATCAATTCAACCACGCCCTAGCTTTTGGTTGTTTCTCAGACCTCTGTGATTGTCTATAAGTAGCACAATTTGTTCTTGATAGGTCTCAGTTGTTGAGTGTATGCCAAGACCTGTCACTGTTCCAAATGGAGGGATCTCAGACAGTGACTAGTTTCAGCCTAATTGTAAGACAGATTATCAAGCAGTATCTTCTTAAGATATGCAAATATATAGTCTTTGGGTCCACAATTGTAAACCCTGCTGACTTCCAGACCAGTTCCAGAGGTGTCCCCTGGGCAATAGTTGCAAAAACTGTAGCTTTAGACCTGTGTATAACCTTTCTGTGAGGTATCAGCAAACTATGATGGGGTCAAATGAGGGTGCTAATATGGTGAACCCCTGCCCATGTTCCTTGAGAGCCCTTCTGTAGCCTCTGGATGTGTGACCTGTCCCCATGACAAAAAATAGGACTTTTTCACATCAAGAATGGGGATGTGTTTTAGTCTTCTGTTTGTGCAGTACCCTGGGTATGGTAGCCTGCCAAAAACTGTCTTTCTAACTGCTTCAAACCCACTGGGTCCAGAAACACAATACCCCAGGCCACTAGAGCCAGGTGTTCAAGGGGTGTCCCATGTGGGCTATGCATGCCCACCAGCTATGGCAGGAGAGCTGTGAATGTGGTATGGGGGTATGGTACTCAGCCCACCTGGCTGTGGTGGGATAAGCCACAGCTACAGTGTGCATGGGCAGGGTGCTCCCACTGAAGCTAGCAGACGTAAAGACTTAAAGGAGGGGTTCCACAATAGCACCCATCTACACCAGGACCAACAAGGCAGGAGAATGCAAAAATGGTGCCCACCTCTGTCCCTGGAGAGAGTCCCAACAGGTTCTTGCCTCTCCAGCAGATGCTTTAAGATTAGCAAATGAGTCTCCTTCACATAGAGTCTAAGTGCCTTGCAAACTGTTGCTTTTGAGCTGGGTCCCATGGCGAGTGAGTTTGTGTAGGACCCTTTTAAGAGTGTATTTTTCATTCCCTACAGTTCTCCTAGAAGTAAGCCCCAATGGTTCTCATAGCCAGATGCTTTGGGGGCTCATTTCTTCAGTGTAGGTCCCAAGGGCTGGGGTGCCTGATGTGGGACATAGACACCTTGCTCCTCAAGAACAAGTCCCATATTATGAGATCACTCCCAACTGTAGGTCACTGCTCCTGGGGTGGAGTTTTTTGAAGACTACATCTCTACCTCTCCTACCCATCTCAATGTGGCCCTTTTATCCTTTGTTGTAGAGGCACTGGTTTAGCTAGCTTTCAGGTCCTTTTCAGGGGGAACGCTCCCATATATAGCTGTAGATTTATTGTGTTCACAGGAGGAGGTGATTTCAGGAACCTTCTATGCCACCATTTTTCAATGTGTCTTTTAAAAAGTATGTAGATTTTAAAGTAACAAACAGCTCCTATAATTAATTGAATACAGCAGGCTAAAAGAGGATTTTTATTAACTATTACTATGTTTTTTCTTTTTCTATGTTAACAAACAGAACTTTTTTAAAATACCTCAGCCATACTAAATCCAGAATTTCACACTGATCTTCATTACTACCGAGATACCTTACCATATAGATTTCAGCACCAATATATATTAAATTAAGGTACAGATTAGAAAAGAAATAAAACCAACTTTCCAGAGATATTAAAAAAGAAAACAACATAAGTTTCTCATTTTGCTCTTACCGTATGTGATTCTAATTCAGCAATTTTCTCAGGGATCTCAGAACCCAAATAATATATTCTAATCACATGGTCAGTGCTACCTGTTGTAATGAACATACCACCTGGAAGATTAAAAAACAAACAAGTAAACATTGTACCAAGAATTTAAAAACACTTTGATTGCCTTCTTAGTTATATGCTACCTTATATTAATAAGAGGGCTTCCAGAAACACAGGTTATCTTCTAATCTTTAATGACATAAAATTTCAGAGAAAAATAGGTAAAATTCAAGAGAAATATTTAAAGGACAACTATACCATTCACCCAACAAAAATCCAACTATACACTAAATATAGGCCTTTGAATAATAAACATTAAAGGTCAGAGCCTTGAGGAATTCTTTATATTTTATGCAAAATCATAGTGCTCCAAAATTATTTATAAAATGACCTATAGCTACAATTCTCTTTTCAGTGGCTATAATGGTGTAATGTAAAAACTCAACCACTTTTGGGATTATGAAAACATTCTAGAGATGGATGGTGGTAATATATCTAAAACAATGTGAATATACTTAATGTCAAAAAACTCACCTAAAAATGGTTATTAAAATAGTAAATTTTAGGGGCACATGGGTGGCTCAGTCAGTTGAATGTCCAACTTTTGGGTTCAGCTCAGGTCATGATCTGTGCGTCCTGAGATTGAGCCCTGTATCAGACACCATGCTCAGGAGGGAGTTTGCCTGATTCTCTCCCTCTGTCCCTTCCCCAACTCATGTGCGCGGGTACACGCGAGCTCTTTCAAATAAATAAATCTTTTTTTAAAAAATAGTAAATTTTATGTTATATTTTACCACAATAAAAGAAAAGGTGAACTAGCATGTGATTCTTAGCAGTAGAAAAGCACAATTTACACACTGTAAAAGTGTCTTCTATATGGAACCACAGTACATATTTTCTGAAATGTCAGGGCAGGATTTTAATGATGAACTGTGTGTGTATGGTGGGAGAGCTTTTCTTTTTACCAACCAAATTCTGATTTATATAAAAACATACTAGAAAATAAGAAGCTATTATATGTTAATTAAAGTCCACAAAGGTCCATCTATTATAGCATATGGTTCACATTTTTGGTATGTTTCTATTAACAAACATACACTGTTTTTCTCCACAAAATTATACATATATCTTCTACAACCGGATCATTTAATATTTTGGGTACTTGAAACTTTCAATTTTTACACATACCAGAACTGAAAGATGAACAAGATATCTGAACTCCAGGTCTGGATCTCTCAGTAAATTTCACTGGGCGATCTCTAAGGGAAAAGTAAGATATTTTTATTTTCCATCACGTTCATTTAACATGCAAGAATCTTTGTACACTGCTGGATATTGACAGATTTAATATCAATACTATAAAAAACACACAACTGAAGTAGTCAATAGGTACTATTCCCATCATTCAGGTTAAAAATGCATTAAACCTTGCAAATATACTTTAAGATACCAGTATCATTATTATAACTTTACAAATTACCACATAACTTACTACCATTAAGAGAAGTTCAAAGTCTTCTTACCAGAATAAATGAAATAAATACCCTTTACAAAATTTTGTGTATAAGTTAAATAGTCTCTTCAACATTGGTTTCATAAAAATTTGATTCTAAAATCTCTAACATCTAATTGAAGTAGGTATAGATGTGTGTGTGTGTATATATATATACACACACACACATATATTTATATACTTAAATATGTGGACTATTAAGAATTTCTCAAGGTAATAAAGAAAAATAAACATGCTTGATTTTGCACAAAATTTCTAACCCAATTCTAAACTTACCTAAACTTCATTGTTTTTACATGCCATTGCCAGAAACAGATTGTTCCATCAGCACCAGTAGAAGTGAGGTATCTGGTTGTGCCTTTAGTTGATGGACAAAACTAAAAAAAAAATTCTAATTCAAATAGAAAGCTTTCATGTTCAAACTTATTTTAAACACAGCATGTTCTAAAATTATCATCATTTTAAAAAATAAATAAATTCAATTAAGAATTTCACTTTCAAGAAATCAGTTATTTAAATTTCCTAGATTAATGAATACTTTACAAAAATTTAAAATATCAAGAAATTGTAGAAAAAAAGTCAGTCATCAAATTTAGGATAAAATATATTAGTTTTAAAAATAACTATTTTTAGGGGTGCCTGGGTGGCTCAGTCAGTAGAGCATGCAACTCCTGATCTCAGGGTTATGAGTGTAGAGATTACTTAAAAATAAAATCTTAAAAAATAAAAAAATATTTTTAAATTACTGAATATCACATATTAAGATTATTATTAAGTAACATACTAAGATTATTATTAAGATTATTATTTCATTACTTTTAATGGAGAAAAAAATCACAAGGTGGTTACTAGTTAAACCATTAGAAATCTGCTAAATATATGCTTATACAGCAATAATTGTGGAATTTTTATAGTTCATATGAACAGAGCATCAGAAACCAATCTAAAATCAATGCTTAGGAAATTAATATCTAAATATTTTGGCCTTAATATTTTACTTTAAATTCCAGCTTCAATGACGTATGATACAAATTTTGTTCTTTTAAAATTTAAATAATTTTCATTTGTTTTAATAGAATAAGTAAAATAGGTCAAATCTCTATATCATTGTAGAAAAAAAACAGATTAAAAAATATACTTAAGTTGCCAATTTAAAGGATAACTAATACCCTAGGTGAACCATGGACAGCCTTTATCCTGTAGGATTCTCAGGCTCTGACTCTCAGTATTTTATACATCTCCAGAAAAGAATCAGATAAGGGAAGAGCCATTGGGCTCCTGAGGCCTGAGATACAGGAAAAAGTTGAAAATCAAACCAGGGTTTCTGTATGCCATGAGTTTTAAAAATCCCAAATAGAGATAATCAACACCACTAAGATGAGTATTAAGGATCAAGATGCATAGGGTTTGAACAAATTTTGACCTCATATCTAAAGAAAGTGATCATTAAAGATATTAGAAGTCATTTATCTAGTTTTCTTGATTAGAAACATATAACTTCTACAAAGACTACAGAGTTTAAATAAAAAATTATCAATTAACGTTATCCATTAATAGTTGATATATATAGTAAAGAAACCAGTACTCAGGTAGCATGCCTATATTTTCCTTTCTGAGATAGAGAAGCTTGCATTGGAAACCTTAATCCACAATTTATAGGAGGAGTCTGCAACATGCCAAATCCAGCTTGCTGCCTGTTTCTGTAAATAAAGTTTTATTGGAACAAATTCACCTTACACTGCCTATGGCTGCTTTTGCACTGGAATGCAGACTCAAGTAGGTATGACAGAGACCATACGGCCTGCAAATCCTAAAATATTTACTATCTGATCTGTAAATTTGCTGATCTCTGATTTATACAAATGAGATATATATAAAATAGTATAATTTTATTAAGTTTGAAAAAACACTAGAACCTCTATTATCACCATTATATTTAAATAAATTCATCAGTCACAAAGGGGGATCTGGCCTATTAATGTAGTCTAATTGAATTGTTTTTAAATAATAAATCATGTTAGAGATTATAAAAATAAAAACACTTATATGTGCATTTCTTAATATAAATTAATATATAATTATTGAAGGAAATTTAGTAAATACAGAAAAACAATAAAAGTTACTTATAATCCCACTACCCAGAGGCAACTACTATAAAATCATATCATTTTATCTCAATTTTGCTTACAAAAAAGAAGAATCTGAAAAGATAATACACCACGATGTTGAGAGACAGTTAATTAACAAAGAATAAGTAATGCATATAGAATGCATGCTAAATAAAATTAAGAGGAGATAAAGAGTGCTGGTGCAGGGAACAACTTAAAATTTTAGAATGGTAAAGTGGTCAGAGAAAGACTCCCTGAGAAAGACACATTTGCACAAGGTACTTAGAAACGGAAGGAATAAGCCATGTGACTATCCAAGGAAGACCATTCCAGAGACATGAAACAGAAAGAGCAAAGGCAGGAGTGTAGCTAGAGTGGTCTAAAAAAGCAGAGAGGGTAGCAGCTAAAGAAGAATGAAAACAGGAAACAAGTAGTAGAAGATGAGGTCAAAGAGAGCAAGGGGCTGAGAATATAGGCCTTACAATGTGGGTCATTTAGACTTCAACATTAACTGTGAACTTGGAAGCTACTGAAGGTTCTGAGTACTAGTGACATGATTTAACTTCCACTTAAAAATCACTCAGCCTGCTATGCAGAGGTTAGACTGGGGCAAGAAAGAGGGAAAGGAAGAAGCAGGAAGATCAGTTAGAATCCTGTTTCAATAATCCAGGTTATAGATGATAATGGTTTGAAATGGAATAGTGATGATTAAGGTCATGATAATTTGTCAGATTCTGGATTTATTCTGAGGGTAGAGCCAACATGATATGCTAACAAGTTAGATATGAGATATAAGAGAAAGAAAAAAAGTCAGGAATGACTACTCTGAGCAACTGAAAGGATAAAACTGCCATTTGTTTAGTTGAAGAACGCTCTAAGAAAAGGAGATTTGAAGAAGGAAGACAGAAATTCAATTTTGAATATGCTGAGTTTGAGATTCATGACATTCATGTGATGATACCAAGTGGGTCCTTGAATATACAAGTATGGAACTAAAAGAAAGGTCCCACGATGAAAACATAAGTTTGAAAATCATCAGCCTACAGATAAATCCAAAGCCATGAGACTTAATGAGATCACTAAAGGAAAGAATGTGATAGAGATCCATGGATCTTTAGGGAGCTCCCAAATGTAAACAAAATGAGATAGAAATTAGAAAATGAAACTTATGAAGGATCCAAACAGTATCATAAACATTTTTTCAATGTAAGTAGTTATTTTTTTATGTTATATGAGAGTTATTTCCAAATTCCAGAACTAATCTGTCAGATAGGATTGTGGGAATACAAATAACTAATAATCTCCTAAAACAAAATCCATGAAATAATTTCAACAGATCAAAAATTTGATACAGAATTTTTAAAATCCAATATATACTAAACCTAATTCTTGCTAGCTCCTCATAAACAGGTGATATTATATTAAATAACACACAAAAATTGACTGACATACTTTTTAGTGACTAAAGAACAAAGAAAAGTAAATGGGAGTAATTATCTCATCCACAAAAGTGGTCTCCTTGACCAAAGTGTAAAACACAGTTTCAGGATTCCTATTTTGCTCTCAACACAAAGAAGAGGACAAGTTCAGCTTAGTTTTCTTAAATAAAAGGTTTTTTGGGGGTATCCAGGATTTTCACTATCAACATTTGTAAAAATACTCTATGAACAAGAATTTAAAAGAAGTCAATGTATGTCAAACATCAAGTTGAAATAGGAAATCACTGAAACTAATAAAATTTTCTTTAACATTAAACCACACACACACACAATCAGACTGACAAACATCTTGCATTAAATATTAACACAAAGTATGCCAATATTCAGGTTAGAACCTGTTTACAACCTGACTAACAGGTATTAGTGTTGCTTCCTTACAGCATTTATAAGTCTTCTCCTTTCTTCACAAATACTAGTGAGATAAATGTCTTACACTGTATTTGAAAAAGTTTTTCAATGATTTTTAAATTATCTCTAAAACAATAAATTTATATGAAAAAGGAATTAAAAAAAATACCAGAGCAGGGTACGGACAAAGCCCTTAGAGATCAACATTTTTCTGTTGCCATTCTTTATAATAATATCCACACAAAATAACAAAAACTGAAAGAATTCTCAACCTCATTACATATGTTAGTGATATCTTTTCATTTTTCTTACCTGTATGGAAGTAATAGAAGCTGAATGTCCCTGAAGGACTGCAACTGGTGCACAAGTTCGAAGACACCACACTCTTACAACCTTATCACAGCTGCCTGCAGCAATAAGAGTGTTTTCATAGTTAACAGCCATGTCAGAAATTTCAGCAGAGTGCCCTCGAAGTGTAGCAAGGAGACGTCCATCATCTGTTGCCCAGATTTTCACCAAACAGTCATCTGAACCCTATAGTAACACAAAAGGACAGACTCCCAATGAAGCAAAAATTTGCACCATTACCACCACCCCCAGAAAAAAAAGCCAAAATGACAAAGGGAGGATTTTTATTAAGTTACTTCTGAGCCTTTACTTTCTAATCTCCTCTGTCCATATAATATGGATCCAGGAAGAAATATAAATGATCTCCAAATGACAGCACTGACAAAGCATTATCTAAACTAACAATATTTGTGAAGAACTCCCCAAAACTGCCAATCTGACAACTCAAAATATTTATAATTCACTTTTAAGTGATTTGGCATTAAATATATCTGCCATTATTTCTTTCCTTATGCCTGACAGCCTTTTATCACAACTGCTTGAATACTTTTTCTATTTCACTTATTTGTGGAACATAAGGAATAGCATGGAGGACATTAGGAGAAGGAAGGGAAAAATGAAGGGGGGAAATCAGAGGGGGAGATGAACCATGAGAGACTATGGACTCTGAGAAACTGAGGGTTTTGGAGGGGAGGGAGGTAGGGGGATGGGTTAGCCAGGTGATGGTTATTAAGGAGGGCATGTATTGCATGGAGCACTGGGTGTTATATGCAAACAATGAATCATGGAACACTACATCAAAAACTAATGATGTACTGTATGGTGACTAACATAGCATAATAAAAAAAAGAATACTTTTTCTACAAATATTTAAATATTTTTAAGATTTTATTTATTTATTTGAGAGAGAGAGAGTGTGAGATAGAGCGCATGAGAGGGGGGAGGGTCAGAGGGAGAAGTAGACTCCCTGCTGAGCAGGGAGCCTGATGCGGGACTCGACCCCGGGACTCCAGGATCATGACCTGAGCCGAAGGCAGTCGCTTAACCAACTGAGCCACCCACGCGCCCAAATATTTAAAAATTTAACCTAAAGTCTACATGCATTTCTCAGTAAACATGAGTCTTTGTTAATAAACTGCTGAAAATATTAAGTTGAACTTCCTATTGAGAATTTCAAAAGAGTTTTAAAAATAGTAAAAAGCAATTCTAATGTAGTAAATAAGTTAGTAATTATTTGTTTATAAAAAGATAGCAGGATGCCTGGGTAGCTCAGTCAGTTAAGTATCTGCCTTCAGCTCAGGTCATGATCCCAGGGCTCTGGGATCTAGCCCGGAGCCCCAAGCCAGAGCCCCAGGTCAGGTTCCCTGCTCAGTGGGAAGTCTGCTTCTCCCTCTTCCTCTGCCCCCAACCCCGCTCGTGCTCTCTCTCCCTCTCTCTTTCAAATAAATAAATGAAATCTTTTAAAAAAATAAAAAATAAGATGGCAATTGTCATTTTCATCATGATCATTAACATTCAAATACTTAGGTGATGCATTTGGAGTTATGAAAATGTCAATGGAAGTCTTTAATGAACTCCAAGGAGTCATAATTTCCCAAAATGCAAACTACTTCATTTATTATAGCATAGAAAGTTAAAAAGAAAATTATGACACTATATACACTTCTATGTTAACTTAGTACTAAGGTAGTGAGACTAAACCCTTTCTTAGAAATATTAGCATGCTACAATTTTGTACTCAAAAGCACACGATATGATCTGGTTAATAAAATGCTAAGCGAAATAAGTCAGTTAGAGAAAGACAAATACCATATGATTTCACTCATATGTGGTATTTAAGAAAACAAATGAGCAAAGGGAAAAAAAAGGAGAGAGAGAGGCAAACCAAGAAATAGACTCTTAACTACAAAGAACAAACTGACGTTTATCGGAGGGGAGGTGGGTGGGGGGATGGGTAAAATAGGTGTTGGGGATTAAGTAATGCACTTGCTGAGATGAGCACCAGGTTTTGTATGGAAATGTTGACTCACTATATTGTACACCTGAAACTAATATTACACTGTATGGTAACTAACTGGAATTTAAATAAAAACTTAAAAAACCCAGATTTAAGGGCACCTAGGTGGTTCAGTCGGTTGAGTGTCCAACTATTGATCTCAGCTCAGGTCTTAATCTCAGGGTCATGAGTTCAAACCCTTCGTGGAAAAAAAAAGCAAAAACAAAAACAAACCAAAAAAAACAATTTAAAAGATAATTAGTATTGGGACACCTGGGTGGCTCAGTCAGTTAAGCATCTGCCTTTGCCTCAGGTCATGATCTCAGGGTCCTGGGATTGAGCCCCAAGATGGGCTCCCTGCTCAGTGGGGGGAGTCTGCGTCTCCCTCTGCCCCTCCCCCCTTGCTCGCTCTCTTTCTCTCTCTCTCTCTCAAAAAAAATAAATGTAATCTTAAAAAAAGTAATAATTAGTACTGAAATAAAAGAAAGATATACACAACTGTAAATTGGTTACTAACTGTATAATACAATTATTCAACCATAAGAATGTTTTAATCATTTTAATTAAGCAGAATGGGCACCAATTACACTAAGTGACAAATGGAAAATGCATTTTAAAATGAAATGGAACAGATAAACTTGTTTCACATAAATTAACCACCTCTAGAATATAAGGCCTTAAGATTTAATTTTTTTTAAATTAGATTTCCCAAAACATAGAGGACATTATAGTTCACCCATTTACTTACATAGAATGAGAAAATTTCAATTTCTTTTTTTAAGTTATATAACTTATTTTTTCCTTTTTCTCTTTTTTTAGATTTTATTTAAATTCAAATTAGTTAACATAATGTATTATTAGTTTCAGTGGTAGAACTTAGTGATTTATCAGTTGCATATAACACCCAGTGCTCATTACATCAAGTGCCTTCCTTAATGCCCCTCACCCAATTATCCATCCCCCCAGCCGCCTCCCCTCCAGCCACTCTGTTTATAAAGTCATCTTTTTACTCATCTTTGTACTCATCTTTTCGTGCATTAATGTGTCTAAGAAGGATAAATTGCTTACAAAGTATAATTCAATGCCATGAAGCCTACCTTCAATTGTAGTAAATCTCAAATATGCTACAGTATCATTAATTTTAAACTCACTGTAAAAATTCTTCTCCCACTTCGGTCAAATGCTACACAGTAGACAGATGACAAGTGCCCCAGAATTCTCTTATGCATCTTAATGTGCTGGTAAGCAGATGAAGGGAAAATATGGCTGAAGCGACTGCATCCAGTTAATTGCCTGGCAGAGGTGATATTCACTGAAAAACATAAAATAGAAGATTCCTTCTTAAGACCTAAAAGCAAAACCTACTTCATGAAGTTAAATCATAAATATTAAGATGAGATAAAATAGGGTACACACACCATAGCAATTTTACCCTGTGAAAAGTCTAAATTCCATTACACATTTCATGATTTTATGAATTCATGTTTACTACCACAAAGCACTAAGAATACTCTTAAATCCCACTAGTCTGATTTTCTGTTTGCCTTACTATGGTTTCTCAGGTTCATTCTTTTTTACCTTTCTTTGGTAAACTATAGTCAAAGATACTGTCACTTTAAATATATAGTTAAATCTTACCATAACATGAAGGAATTTTAGAATAGAGACTACATTTGATTAAATATAATACATTTTAAAAATTACATAGGGAATTTTATGAACTGTCCTACCTCGTCAAACCTATCCACTCCATATGCAGCTATCTCTAAACTTTCAAGAGTAATAGACTTATACAGTGAAAAAACAAAGGAAGCTATGATAATACATTAAGTTTTCAGTAACAAACAATCCTTTATAGGTTTGTCTATAGGTTCTCCGCTTTTTGGTTTCTGAAACTATAGACTCTCCCACTAGTTACCAATGAATTTTTGAAACTGCATATCCTATATAAAGTCATTATAGTTCTTTTTGTTTGTTTTGCCTTATTTAAAAAAAACAGAAAAAAGCATAAGTCTGTCCAGTTCTCTTCCACATGCCACTTGGATTCTTCTCTTACCTAAAATGGAGATCTTAGTCCCCATGTAAGGATTTACAAGCACCCACTTGCTCTGTGAAATTCCTCCAGTCTTTCCTTATACACTGAAAATATTTAACATCCCATACATTATATTTTAATCAAACCATAGGATCCTTTTAAGTGCAAAGTCACCTTGAGGCAAGGTGACATTTTACCATAGTGCATAAATAATATAGTACAAATGATAACAGCTTTATGTTGAAGTAAGGCAAGAATGGGTTTGTAGCTAGATTAACACAATTAGAACCATGCCACAATAAAAAATATGAAACCTTTCCATATCTCAATCTTAAAAGCAATGGAGTCCTTTTTTTTTTTTTTTCTTCAGGTGAAGGTAGCTCCACTGGCCATTTTAAACTGACAAAATGACAAAAAATGAATGATGAATAGCAAAACCAATGAGACTTTGAATGCAAATCATAAGAACACAACAGAGACTGAGTATTTATATAACACTGTGAAATGCTGAGTAAATAATGGTAGAAAACTCACAAGCATCACGACCAGCTCAGAGGATTTCTTTTTGGCACCTGCTCCCCATCCCAACCTCTAGAAATTTTCACAATTCTAAGATGGAAAGAGCAGACACCATAACTTTGAGACTTAGCAATTTTCCTTCTCCAGTCAAACATTTCTTACTGCTCTTAGTTCCTTAAAACAATCAACCATCACTTCTTTGCTTTTTTCTATCCATACTTTTCAAGTAGACAGAAGAAAAGGTGTGTTACTTTGGCGAAGGGTTTTTCAGCCTCAAGAAATACTGGCACTTTGGGCCTGATGAACCTTCACTGTGCAGAGCTGTCTGTCTACTGAAAAGTATTTAGCAGTTTCCCTGGCCTCTACCCACTAGATTTTAGTAGAACCCTACCACCATGAAGCTGTGACAAAGAAAAATATCTCTAGACATTGCCAAATGTCTGCTGGTGGTAATAAACAAAAACAAAAAAACATTAACAACTGCCCCCAGTTAAAAACCACTGCTTAAAGTATAAAAACAAAAAACAGCATCAATAGGAAGAAAAATAATCAGAAAAGCAACTCTAAGAAAAGCAGAGACATAAAGAAAAAGAAGTAGTGAAAGACACAGGGGAGAGATAGAGCTACCAGAAATCCAGTCATTCCTCTAACAAATATCTGTGTTTTTTGAAGGCCAAAGGAATAGAACTAAGCATATAAACAAAATATTCTTGACCCCACTAAGAGATCCCATTAGTATCTCAGGCCAAAACTGTTAAATCAGGAACAATGACTGAAAACTTTATGCACCTTTATAGTCTACACAAATTAGCTTTTACTTTTTAAGACTCCTTTACAAAGAAAACTATTAATTGAAAAATGAAAAATATGTGGAACAAATATGAAAAATCTTAATATTTTAAAACACATATAAAACTAACCATCTATAAGAGTACCAAGGGGGCACCTGGGTGGCTCAGTCGGTTAAGCATCTGCCTTTGGCTCAGGTCATGATACCAGGGTCCTGGAAACGAGTCCCACACCAGGCTCCCAGCTCAGCGGGGAGCCTGCTTCTCCCTCTCCCTCTGACCCCCTCCCCTGCTCATGCTCTCTTTCTCGCTCTGCTCTCTCTCTCTCTAATAAATAAATAAAATCTTTAAAAAAATACCACTAAGATCTAATAGATGAATGGATAAAGGAAATTAACAGATAAGTCACAATATAGGAAATACAAATAAACTGAATCACAGAATACACAACTATTTTGCCAACTATCAAAAGAAATTTAAATGAAAATAATGAAATACTACACCTAATAAATTAGCATTTTAAAAATTCTAAAAACCTAAGGCCAGCAATTACTACTTGAAACTGGTATACACCTTCATTTCTACATACACCATAAAGTGACATGATCCATTTGGAAAATAATTTTGGCAATACACTTCAAGAGTCATGAAAATATACACACCCATTGCCCAACCATTGGGAATCTATTCTAGTGACACAACTTATTAGCAAAAATGAGTTACATGTACAAATGTTTAATGAAGTACTATTTACAATACCAAAGAATGATAAATAACCTAAGTCCAACAGCCGGGAAATGGTTGATTAAATTACAGACTACGTGATGGACTATTCTATAGGAATTAATAATTAAAATACCAAACTACAGCACTGTGTAAAAATTTAGAAACTACAAAGCAAAAAATACAAAATGCAACCTTACAAGTATACTATGATTTAAATTATGAAAAAATATGCATACATATATAATAAAGGCTAAAAAGAAACAAGACAAATGAAACCAACTGCTTTGTGATCAAAGTATAGGTAAATTTTTAAAATTTCACCTAACACACTTAACAATATATTTTTATCTTCAACACAACTTTTCTATTGGGTTCTTCCTAGTTATTGCTAATAGCTATTCAAAAAAATTCTACTGTAAGGCACATTGTATATTTGACAGCAGCAGCATCAAATATTCCTTCTTTCCAATCTCAGTGATTTTTTGTTTATTCATCTAGCACCTGAGATGATAACATTTACATATTTTTCTCAGTCATTTGATATCAACAGGCCTTAGGCTCTATATACATTAAGGAGTTCTGTCAACACTCTTTTTTGCATGCATTGTCCATTTAACCAGTATTTTTCAATATTGCATGTGAACATGCCAACTTTGTCTTGAAATATTTTAAGAACTTTCATTTTCAGACAAACATCCTTGATATCACAATACATTTCTTTGTACTTAGCAATGTTGACAAATTCAACTAGTAGATAAATTAGTCAAATGTATATATGTATAAAATATATTTAAATACAAAATGTTCTATTCAGAATCCATTATGTCTAATTTTTTTCTTTAAAATTTTGTAAGATAGGCATCTAAATGTTCTCTAACAAGAGGTAAGATATATGAACTAACTCAGTGATAGACCAAAATGCTTAAAGATTGAAGTAAGAACAGGATAAGACTTACTGTATGTCTTAAATTTATTAAGTCACAGAGAGCACTGAATGGCTATCAATGGAATAATTACTTTCTCTTTAAAACCTATGTTTGTTGACCACCTGATATGAGCTAAGCACTTGACAGATACTGAAATACAGCTTATAAACAAATCAAACTAGATCCCCATCCTCATAGAATTTACATTCCACTGAACAAAGCTTTCATCATTTACCCAATTTCATGAATAAGATACCTTAATGAGGAAAGTGATCTATACAGCTCTCAAAATGTATTTTTCTAATAAGCTTTACAGAAACTAGAAACAATAAGCTTTACAGAAACTAGAAACAACTACAGGTGATGTTGATACTCTGCCAAGTTTGGGAACCACTAATTCTAGTCCAACCTCCCTCTTCCCAGAATTATCCTTTCCATAATATATCTGGCAGATAGCCATTTAGCCTCTGCTTAAACACTTTTGGTAAAGAGAAGATTATTATTTCTTTAAAAAATGGCCAATTCATATGAGCTGCTCTAATTTTGGGGAGACTCTACCTTTAATTGAACTCAAATTCTCTCCCTGTAACTTCGGGAATCATACAGGCTTTGCCTTTGGAAGCTACACTGGAAAAAAAAAAAACACAACAAAAAATAGTCAAATCCCTTTGTTACATGGTAACCCGTGAAATATTTAAAGATAGCTATCACTTGTGCCTTCCATCTTCTCTCAATACATGAGGTCCCCTCTACATTATTCACAGCCATAGTTCACACATACCTCTCTTCCCTATCATCGCCTACAGAAAAACACTCTTTCACCCTGAACACTAACGTGGTTGCTTTTTTTTTTTGAGAAGTTTCTAGTTCATCAATGTCTCAGACTCTTAAAATAACAAGAACTGAGCAAAATATTCCAGTGGTCTAATGAGCACAGAGTATTTTCAACCACACTTCTATGAATGCAATTTAGGACTGCAAATACTACATTAGTTTTCTAAAACAGCTGCCTTATACTATCTATTGGTTAAAGAGGAAATAAAGTTAGTTTGATAGGCTTTCTTAGTAAACATATGTTTTAGTGCTCACCTCTTTCTTTTCTAAGAGTACACAAACCAGCAGTTCAATAAACCTGTCTAAAATTCTGCCTGGGGTTAAAGCTAAATTCACCAATCTATAATTCCTAGAATCTACTATTTGTTTCCTTTCATGTAACTTGTCCATTGAGTCATTTCCATTTCTCCTGTCCACTCTGATTTCACAAAGAATACCTGCCAGTGAAAACTGTTTCAGTATACTAGGATTTAAATCATTTGGG